AATAAAATGCTTTGCTCTAGAATTCCCTCCGGCAGTGGGTGCCCACTTGCCTTCTGTCTGCATAACTAAAAAGGGCCATCAAATGAAGAGACACTTCCAGATCAAAGAAAGATGACTCTGCTGGCTTCCAGGCTTTGTCCAATTTTTAAATGGCAGCTTCTTAAAAAAATATTTTCAGACCTACTCAGGGGGTCCACTATTTAGACGACTGTCCTTTCTCTGGTTTGCTGGCTCTTCCTCTTTGTCCCATGCTCTGAATGTGAGTTCACAACCCTCGCCTTCTCTCCTTCTCTTGGCATCTTGGCTCCAGTGTCCAGGGTATTGGTGACTCTACAGTCTCTATCCCTTACCAGAGCTCTGTTGGGGACCTGTCTAGTGTCTGGCACTTAAACAGTGCCCAGTATATTTTCTATTGAATAAACTCCCATCTCGAAATGCCAAAGGACATCTTCATTTGTATACTCCCCTTCGTCAGAAATTAAACCTGCCTGAAACTGAGCCTAACTTCCCATAGAGGTGGACCCTCACCAATTTTCTTTCTCTTAGTCAGTGGGGCCACCAGCTTCTCAATGACACCTCAAGTCTGGGGGCCTATCTTGGTCAATCGCTCCCCTCCACTGGTTGCTCTCCTCTGACCCATTTCCCTATCTGTAAAATGGGGATAATAACAGTACATTTCAGAGGTCTCTTGTGAGGATTAAACGAGTTCAAATAGAAGAAGTGCCAGCACAGTGCCTAGCGTGGCACATAGAAGGCAATAAATGCTAACTATTATTATTTTTCTCTTCAGAAACCAAAGTGACTACATACTGTGTGCCTAGGAATTTATCATCGTCACTCTAAAGGTACAGGATGGACCCCCACCCAGACTGTGGTTGGCACGTCAAGAATGATGATGGCACACGTGTGCTAAGGCAGTAATTGTAAAAGGTTTCTTATTTGCACAATGAGGCTTTCTGGGGAGAGCAGGGTGGCTTCCAAGCACATCCAAAAATGGCTTGAGAGAGCAGGGACAGGAGAGTTGGTTAGGGTTTTTATGGTGTTCGGGTGAGGCTGGAGTGAGAGTTTCCATGCATGGTTAAAATTTCCCATGGGGGACAAAGGAGGGAGTATTGGGCTTTCTTATCAGCTTCCTGGGTTGTGGGGAAGGAGCAGAGGGAAGGTGAGGCTTAAAAGCTGTCAGCAGCCAAATACTTTTTTAAAAATAATAATGATAGGGGCACCTGGGTGGCTCAGATGGTTAAGCATCTGCCTTTGGCTCAGGTCATGATCCCGGGGTCCTGGGATCGAGTCCCGCATCGGGCTCCCTGCTCCTTGGGAGCCTTGCTTCTCCCTCTGCCTCTGTGTGTGTGTGTGTGTGTGTCTCTCATGAATAAATAAATAAAAAAATCTTAAAAAAATAATGATAATGAGGTCAGACTCTTTATTACAGAGCTAAGAGAGCAAGCCTTAGGCAATCAGCCATCAAATATTTCCAATTTTTAATTTGAATTACCTCTAATATGTGCCTCTTCCCTCCCCCTCCCACAATGCTGAATGAACAGAGGCTCCAATCACTTTTTAACCTCAAGTAGCACAAACTTTCCCTTCTGGCTCCCGAACCTCTCTTTCTCCTATCGCCTCTTGCCTGCTCTGTCCCCAGCTATCTTTGTGATCATGTACGAACTCAGATGTGAGTATTCCTTCCCACTGTAAGGTTCAAAGTGGTTCCCCCATATGACTTTTTAAAACACAGTCCAAAAATTCTTTGACGCTCTTCCCAAAAAGAGGTGGGGTGTATATTCCTTCTCAGTGGTTCTATTTCAACCAGTGAGGTGCTGCAAAAGTGCTACTGTGGACTCCCCAGGCTAGGCCAGTAAAGGCCATGTGGCTCTACCTGATTTTCTCAGGATGCTTGTCCTGAGGTCAGCCAGCCACTGTCTAAGAAATCTGACTCCCTGAGACTAACATGCTCTGGAGGCTATTCGTAGGGGCTCCTGTTGATAGCCTGGCTGAGCTACTAGTCAGCAGCCAGCATCAACTGTCCCCATGAGAATGAGCCACCTTGGACATCCAGCCCAGTGGAGCCCGCGGATGCCTACAACCAAAGCAGCTAGTGGACCATAACCGTACGAGAGACCCCGGACAAAAACTTCCCAGCAGGCCCTTTCCAAAGTCCCAATCCACACTGTGAGTAAATGAAATGGATGTTGTTTCACATCACTAATTTTAGAATAACTTGTTATGTGGTAGTAATAACTGGAAACTCTCATTCTGGCATTAAACAGTGGGCTTGCCTAGGTATAATTTCTTAAAAACATAAGCAATTATAAAGTGAACACATGTACAAGACTAATTGAAATCCCTAATGAAGAAACCAACAGATTAGTAAAAATCATTAAAAAAAAAAAAACGTAAAAGGCAAAAAGTATTTATGTGTGCTAAAGAAAGAATGTCCAAGTAAGACAAAACTGGTTAATGTCCTGCTGGGCGATAAAACCATAATCTTTGGGGTTATTTTTCTTCCAAACAAAAATCATTTTCATCTGGCTCGAAAAAAGAGTCTACACGTTGGTATGTTTCATCACAGCATCTGGGCCTTAAACAATAGTACATGATGTCCTAAACAATAGAGAATTAAATAATCCTAGGGTAAGCCTATTGGACAATGTCTCAGTATGATATTGAAGGAACACACAGCTAACATTTTCGTCTAAGGTGTCGGTAACTTTTCTAATACGACCTACACTAGATCTCACACTTCTGAGGTGGAAAACAACAAGGCACCCGTGGAGGAGTACTGAGGCTTTGGTGTCTATGCCAGACCGTGGAAAGAGGCAGAAAGAGAAGGTTCTCTCCTAACACCTTCAAACCACATCATGTTGTTACCCGTCTCTTTCTGTATTGTGGCTATCATTTAGCAAAATCTGTGGTTTGCAGACAGTATGTGGTTAGAGAGCTGACTGGGTATTTTTCCTTCGGAAAGAAAGGGACTCTCAGTAGTAAAGATTGTGTTGGGGAATGTCCTGAATATCAGGTTTTCAGACTCTTTTCGAGTCTCTATCACTGCGTGGTAGATTTCATTTAAACAGGAGGTGTACGTATGGAAAAACAGAACGTGATCTGGTCCTGAGTCCTTTTTTACGAAGATACCCCTTACCAGCTGAATCACAATCTCCCTGACACCTGGTTTCTTGATCTGCAAAATGGGGCTATTAATACTTACTTTCCTTACTCAGAGAGAGAGAGCTTTAGAAATGGTACAGCTCTGTTCCCAAGTAAAGGATTATTATTAGTAGTATTGTTATTACGGATTTGAGGACACACATGGTGGAAAAGGAGGAAACCCCTTCCAGCAGATTGCCAGGTCAATGCAGCCCCACCCAACTGGCTTGTCCTAAAGTTTCCAGTGCAGCTGACTATTACCCAAGGAATTGCTCGGGTGAGCAGGTTGTTTTGACATCCCCTGGCAGGGGCAGCTCAGGAAATCCCCTCTTCACCCCAGCAGTGACTCATAAAATAGACTCAGAAAAACCAAAAGTGAGCTGGGGGGAGTCTCTTGAGCCTTGAACACACCGGATCGAGAGGAAAAACTGGGCCTTCAAGGAAGGGAGGAAGTGATACTGCAGGCTTTGGATTCACAGAGAATCAGGTTAAAGTTAGGTTCTGGCTCTGCTGCTGAGTGGCCATGTGATGGCAGGGAAGTTTCTTACCCTTTCTGATTCTCCATGTTCTCACCCACATAGTAAAGCTGACAATACCTGGTTCACAGAGTTGAAGGGAGATTTGAAACTGGAGATGGGAAAAAAGTAGAGTTCTTCATAGAGTAGGTAATCAGGGAAAAACCCCAATCCGCCCATTCCCACCCCAGCCCCTCGACAGCAGAATAGATAAATCTATGGTGGTGCATGAACACAGCACACTGGACAGGGAAAGGAATTAACCAAAGCTAGACGCATTCGAGTGACTGAGTCTTTGTAATATAATAAATACAAATGTGTGTGTGGGCAAACTGTCCATTTTTTTTCATACTGTCCATCAAATGAAGGGAGCTCACTTTGCAAGTTGGAGAGCTTGGAAAGTGGTTAATGGGGATGGACCTACAGGAGGGAGGGAAGAGGAACACAAGGGTAAGTGCCACCGTCCAAGGGTAAGTGCCACCGTCCTGGTCCTCGGGTTCTGTGGCAGGTGCAACGACAGATTGTTTTACTGTTGATGATGAGTGTTACTCAGTATTAAAATGACGAGTATATTATGAACTAAGGATTACAAGGCATTCAGTGTTGTGCAACAATAACACAGAACAGACACTCAATAACTACCTCTTCCTGTCTCCTTGTCTCCTCTCCAAAGTTCTTCTTCTGGAAATGTTAAAAAAATAAAACAATAAAGAAAAGGAAAAAAAAAGTCAAGGAAGAAAAGAGCAAAGCATTTTTCTTTGAGGTAATTTGTTTTCTTCACATTGTATACACAGTCCTTTGTCCCACACGTCTTTAATTAAAGCCGAAAATTATTGGTATAGCTCTGTTTAATAGTTTCCATCTTTGGAAACTGTGTTACTGAAATAGTCATTTGCTTGTCTTCTCTGTCCTGGGTCCTTTCAAACTTCTATTTCCTACCCACGTTTCTAATACAATAAGGGGGAAATGCAGTAAGATATTAAGTAATTGAGAAGAGAATGGTGTCGTACAGACAAGAGGGTGTCAAGACCTTGGACCTGCACAGGAGGCTTTCACAGTCCTGCACCAGACTCAGACTCAGGCGTCCGGTACCCCTCCATTGCAGTCAAACCGAAAGTCATGGTGTCCGCCCAATGTATTGTAACTGTTCAGCCTCTATGCAGGACCCTTCTGGAACACTTTTACCCCCATTTTTTTTTTCCTCTCAGAAAATTCCTACTCTTCAGAACCACACTGAAATATGACTTCCTCTGTGAAGATTTCCTGAACACCCCCAGGAGGGTTTGTTGCTACCTCTTCTATGCTTTCCTATTCTTGAAAAATACCACTATTTTAGCTCTCAATACACAGTTCCTGTAATTATGATGTCACTTTTGGCCCCCCAACACTCCTGAGGAGGAACTATACCTACTACACCTCAGAAGTGTCTGGTACATCACAGACAGGCAAATAAAAGCTTGCATGCATGAGTGGGGAAAGACTGTTACATTACACATTTCATTCCCCCCCACCCCTTGTCACTGGCTATTCTGACTGCGGGGGGTGCTGCCTGGTAGTGCTAATGACATCCGCCAGCGTCCAGACAGGGAGGTTGCTTGGAGAAGGGGTTTTTTTTTGTGGAGCCTTGGAGGACCAGAAATATGGGAAAGGGGATATCTTTGTTGCAACACCATCAGTCCCTGGTTGTTATCTTTCTTGATCTGCGCCCAGAAGAGCCAGCCCCATCCTAGTAACTGAGCTCCCGTGAGTCCCGCTAAGGCAGAAGATGACTCTCTTGTGAGAGAGTCTCACAGGAAACACACAAGCACTTGCAGGCACAACTTTGGGTGGCCTGGGGACAATTTCCGGAGGTGGAAAGTTATGGGATGCTTTTATGTTCCTCCTATGTGGTGACATATATTTCCTCTTCTGAAAGTGTGCAGCCAAGGAAGGGGAGCCGGCATGACTGGTTAATAGGTGAGGTCAGTCAGAACGCCGGTGGAGCCCCTGATAGTTGGTTATGACCTACCGCTCAGGGCTAAGGGTGCTCATGTGCAAGTACTATGGACTATCTAGAAAAAAACAGTGGGGTGTAGTGACCAACGAACAGGATTGGAAATTAGGCGGGGGCTCAAACCCATGTTTCATATACCAACTTAAATATCCTTGGACAAGTTGTTTAACTTTCTGGATCATTTACTTCATCATTGTAGAAATGGGCAGAAAATAACATTTACCTCATAGGACTGTTGTAAGATTAAGTGAGAGGTAAAAACAATGAGCACATCAGAGGTATTCAGTAAATGGTGGTGATGATTATTATTCAAATACTCAGAGTCTGTTTTCTGTAAGAAAGAAAAAGATGAGCAGCAGGCAATGTTCCCTACCTCCAAGGAGGGTTAAATGAGGAAGCATTTAGTAAAAATAGTTAGAATAGTTTTTAGCATATGGCTCAACATTTGATGAATACCTGAACCAAGAAAAGAGGATACCTTAAAAATGAGGGAGTCCAAATTTCTTAATATTTGTTTCTAGACGCGTAATCAGAGACTCTCTAACGATCTTAAACAACTTTGAATCATTTGACCTGAGGGAGAAAAAATATATATTTTTATATGATGTATATACATAATCTAAAATACTAATAAAGTTGTAGTGACTTCCTGCGTTTTATTTTTAAAAATGGAGTATTTGGATCTCCAGGTTTAAAATCCCCGATCTAAATAAAGTTATAAAATATGGGTTAGAGGAGATGGGAACTGTACTGGTAGATTATTTTTCCTTGGTTTTAAATAAGTAAATCTATCACTCATTTTAAAAACTCTTACTAACCAAGGCAGGCAGAGTCTTAAGTGTAAATTAATAAACTCTTTTGGTGGATGAAACAGGAAACAATGGCAAATATTTAATCTTTCCTCTTCAAAGTTGGAGTGGTTTAGTCTCTGCCCTTTTTGAACACACTATAGATTTTAATACCCTTTTGGCCTTTTCTTTTGATTATAGCTAATGGAATTGTCCCCCCACTTATGTCCTCATTTTCCATTCCTCAACCTGTCTGGACTTTTGCCTCCAAAGGTTAACATCAGTATGAAGTAATGTAATTCATCATTACTATTTAGACAGATTTATTCAGAGTTCTCTCCCCGCAGATGTCTATAAGCACGGTGAATCTGACATCCAGCATTGCCCAGTAGGGTTGGATATTATACAGGCAGTATCTAAGCCCAAAACTGAAAACAACAACAACAAAAACACCAAAGTTCCCTCCAAACCCCCACAACTGTAGATTTAATCAGAATTAAATGACAATGTGTTTCTAACAACTGTCCCAATTAGGGTAGAAAATTCTGAAAACAGGAGAGTTGCAGGTTGGTCTGGCTACATATAGAGATGAGCTCCGGTGAACTTAGTTTCTGTTACTTGGCCTTACATCGATTGGGGCACTGAAGTTAGGCTTACCCAAGAGTTCTGGTTTGGATAAAATGTACAAGGTCATTGAGTCACAGACATTAAGGTTTAGAGGGATGTTTCAAGAACAGCAGTATTTCTCACTGAGCTTCCCTGTGAGCAGTTTTTCCACAGAAGCCCAGGTAGCTACCGCCATCAATCAGTTGGAAATTCCTTAGGAGTAGAAACCTCTTTGCTATTTCTGGGTATTCTAGGAAATGCATTTGGGGAATACCCTGGTCACATCTCCACAGCTGACTCCCTCTTTTGAAGGGGACCTAGTAGCCTGTTCCATCCTGGGGATGCAGAGCTTTCCTGTATCCAAGAGTCAAAACCTGTCTATTCCATTGGAACTGATGTTTCTTCCTTGGGAAATAAAACACATCTAATCCCTCTTCTGCTTGACAGACATTCAGCAAAATGTTTAGTTAATTGCTTCATTTACTATTTATTGAGCATTAACTAGGTCCTAGGCACTGTGCCAGACCCTTGGGGTAAGCAGGAGAGAGCCCACTTCTCACAGAGCTTCTGTCTCAGCAGGGAAGAGAGTCGATGGCAACTGTGATTCTTCTGGTCTACAGGCTAACCACTCACAGTCCCATAAACCCTTGGGTGCAGTTCCTTCACCATCCTGCTCACCCTCTTCCACATTTTCTCTAATTGGTCTAGAACCCTCTCAAAGGGTGGGGCCTTAATTGAAAAACCAGGAGGCAGGCAGGGGATAACAAGACTTGTCGCTACTGTCCTATATTAATGACTTTTCCCTAGGCGTCTCTGAGGGCCTCATCATTATTAACCTTCCGTTTGAGTCTCTCAGCTGCTCTATGGGGTAGAGGCTGAGGGCAGTGCCTAGCCAGTCTGAACGATCTGGAATGGGTGTCAGTATCATTCTGATCTGGGGGCACTCCCACTGTAGGGTTACTTATAAATTGAGACTATGGACTTCTGGATCAAAGAGTTCTCTTTAAGTCTCAGCTCTGCCACTTACTAGCTTAAGTAAGTTGGACCAACCTTATGGGCATGTGACCTGTGCAGTTATGGGGGTGAGCAGAGGGGGAGAACCAGAAGGACTCTGAACTTTATTTAATGTTCTGCTGTTGCTATTTTGGAATTCTTTTTTTTCTTTTTTTTAGACTTTATTTATTTATTTATTTATTTATTTATTTATTTATTTGAGAGAGAGAGAGCATGCCAGAGAGAGCACGAGCTGAGTGGAGGGGCAGAGGGAGAGGGAGAAACAGACTCCCCGCTGACCAGGGAGCCAACACAGGGCTTGATCCTGGGACTCCAGGATCATGCCCTGAGCCAAAGGCAGGCGCTTAGCCAACTGAGCCACCCAGGTGCTCTGTCATTTTGAAATTCATAATAATTTCTCATCATGGGGCCCTGCATTTTTATTTTACACTAGGCCCTGAAAACTATGTAGCTGGTCCTATGAACAAGTTATTTAACCTCTCTGAACTTTAATGTCCTCATCTAGGACACCGGGGTGATGATGATACCTACTCTACAGGTTCCTGCAAGCTTTAGATGAGACAATGTGTATACATGTCTATCCCATAGTAAGCACCCCCCCACACACATACACATACCAACCGATGTAAGTCAATGACATTGTTATTTAGAATATCTGACATCAACTATTCTTTTTTTTTTTTAAGATTTTATTTATTTATTTGAGAGAGAGAGAATGAGAGACAGAGAGCATGAGAAGGAGGAGGGTCAGAGGGAGAAGCAGACTCCCTGCTGAACAGGGAGCCTGACGCGGGACTCGATCCCGGGACTCCAGCCAGGATCATGACCTGAGCCGAAGGCAGTCACTCAACCAACTGAGCCACCCAGGCGCCCTGACATCAACTATTCTGAATTTAGAACATATGCTAACAAAATGAGCTCTTCTAATTTCTCCGTGCCTTCAGTTAACCTTTTTGGTACTTCTTCTATTCTCCTAAATCAAGAATACATATGTGGGAAAGGGACGTTAACTTTTTTTTTCTTTATTAGGCATCTAATTTCTTTGGTTGCAAGTGACAAATACTATTTCTAGGTAACTTATGAAAAGAGAATTTTTGGAATGATAATGTGACTTCAAACAAATAAAAGTGATAGTAAGGCTAGAGAATAAAGCTTGAAAATGAATAGAAACAAAGACAGCTTTGCTCCCTGGTGGAAGAGCTCTGGCAAAGATGAAATGCCAGAACACCTACCATTTTCAGTCTCTGTCACTCTACTGAAGACTCAAGTTCCAGAGAGTACATACCCATGACCTAGCTTGGGTCACATGTTCCTGGCCAGGCAAGTGAAGGACAAGGCATCTGATTACAGCAGCATAGGTTGGGGGCGGAGGGGATTCCCCAGAAGGAAAATGATGTGCTGGTAAGAAGGGGGAAATAGTGCAGTAAAATAAAAACAAAAAAATTTTTTCTCCAGAGTGTCATCTGCTCTATACCTGGCACTCTGCTAGGGGCTTTGGGATAGTATTCACTTTACCTTACATACAATGCCTAGCATGCAACAGACACTCTCTAGATATTTGTTGAATAAGTGAATAATTGAGTGAACTTATTTAACCTTCACACAACTCTTGGAGTTAGGTTATATTAGTTCCATTCTACCGAGGAAGCGATTGAGTCTCCAAGAACGGGAATAGTTTGCTCAAAAATCACACAACCAGTAAGCAGCAGAGTTGAGGTTAAGACCTGGTTCTGTCTGACTCCAAAGCTTGTCTCCGTGCTGCTGCATGCTGCCGGCCTCCCTTGCGGAGTATGTGAAGTCTGCTCTAAACCTGAGAACCTTCTGTGGTGCTGCCCCAAAGTCACAGGGGCTCCATGCATTGTTGTTTATTGACAGATTCTAGAAAGTTTATCTAAGCTGGGAAAAGTTCATTTTGTGATTTTCCACTAATTTCAGAAAGGAAGTGATGCAAATGGTGTGACCTTGGACAAGATATCTCAGTCTCTTCAACATTAAAGGGTATGATAGTGGTATCTCCTATGAGGCTATTGTGTGATAGGTGAGGGGATGTTTGTAAAACCCTTAGGACAGCTCCTAGTACGGAAAGCCCTCAGACATGACACTTTACCTCGAGTCTTAGAAGAGTACAGAGAAGCAGGAAGTGAGTGATGGGGGAGGCATCAGGTTTCACTATCATATTTCATCACAGTTAAGACTACCAGCTGAACTGTTAATTTCCATATCTCAGAAAGTAAAAGCATCGCCAATGAAGCTATAAGATGCTTTCTAATTACTTCAAGTTTATATTATTTTATTAATACTGAAAAATCTTTTAGACATAAGTAGACATGATTTAGATATATTTTGAATGAAAATCTTTTAGACCTATTTAGACATACATTTTTTAAAATCACATATTGCCCTTGGGTGTATGTAAAAGGGAAAATACAAGCAAATACGTTGGTGAAAGTATTACCAAGACTTTTTTTCACTTGGAATGGTTCACCTCTTCCACAGCACATTTTGACTGAGTTGTTGATGTGTTTTGCACACAATATTGTCAACTGAGCCCTTGAGAGAGTCTCCGAATGCAGCATTTCTTCAGAGAATGCTGTTGTCTTGGGAAGATTCTGTCAGCCCGCTGGTACCAATTTGCAAATTCTGATGTCGGTGCCATTTTTTTTATTCCACTAGAAGACACGAGTAGAAGTTTTCCAGAAAACAACAGCAATACACGTTTTTTCCTCCAAAGGTCCATAGGTGGTTTGTTGACTAAAACATCAATGGCTGTGGTTGCCAATCATTTTACCTCAGAATAATAACCAAGGGCCTCCAGGCAGGCCACGTGACTATGGCATTGCCAGAACCTGGCCATCTGATGTCATTGGTTGTAAGGCATGCCTTGATTTCTGGGACGTTAAATGTTCAATAAGTAAGAGTCTGCGCCTCGGAATACGTGAAATATGGCAATAGGAAAAGTCGGGGAATTAGAGGTTCTCGGACCTTTGTTTTATTCCTTCTTTGCCACAACTAGCTTGCCGCTGCAGAAAACGTTCAAGCATTGGGAGACCTTAGGAATGATCTTTTGGAATCCTCTTTCTTCACAGGTAAGAAAACTGAAGGGCAGAGACTTAGACCATCCAAGCACACTCAGAGTAGGATAGCCTGACTGCAGATCCTCTGCCCTACACACTTGGCTGCCCTGGCTCCTATGGGGGAAAGGTAGTTGCAGAAGAGTACACATCATTGGCAGCCCTTTGCTGTCCTGTCATAGAAGCTCCTCGTGCTCTCTAACGGCTCATTGGCTAATCTGGGCATTTCCAACCACTTTAGTCCTTCTTGGCCAACAACTCCCAAATCAAATGTCCTCTATTCTTAGATGACTTTTCTAAGAGCCATTTTCACCTCTTGCTCCCACCCCGAACTCCCCAGGCAGGTAATTGCCCTAGGTTTTGTGGTTTTAGTTCTTGTTTATCTCATGGAAGTCATCATGTTGTTAAATATGACTCGATTTGCTTTTCAAAAACTCATTTTTATGGAAAATTCCGAACATACACAAAATAAACACAATAGTGTAGCAAACCTCTACGTACCCATCATCCAGCTTCCGCAGTTACAAACATCCTGTTATTCCCGATTTTTCTATACCTTGCATCACTCTCCACCCTACCTAGTTATTTTTTTAATACTTTTTTTCATTTAATATGAAGTTCACATGTAATGAAATGCACAATTACAAATGGGTATGCTTGTGTAACCCACACATCTATCAAGATTTTGAACATTTCCATTGTTTTAGAGAGTTTTTTTCTGGTCCTTTCATGATTAGGCTTCCTCCTAATCTCCACCTCTGCACCCTCCAGACAAACTCATGATATTTATTTTCCTTCATAAATTATTTCACATTCTGTTAGCTTAGAACTTCACAGAAACGCAACCATACGGTTGGTACTCTTTTAGGGTCAGCTCCTTTCACTTGACCTACTTTCTATGAGATTCATTCCTGTTATTATATGTATCAGTACTTCATTCTATTTTTTTTTTATGACTGAGTAATATTTACATTGTATGCGTCCACCACAGTTTGTTTATCCATTCTCGTGTTCATGGATATTTATGTTGTTTCTAGTTTGGAGCTATTAACAATATACCTTCTATGAACATTCACATACAAATCTTTTTCGTAAATGTGTATTTCCATTTATCTTGGGTTAATACCTAGGCATGAATTGCTGGGTCATAGCGTAGATGTAGAATTTTACAAAATGATTGTACTATTTTATGTTCCCACCAGGAATATAGGAGAGGTCAGCTGCTCCACGTTATCTCCAATATTTGTTGTCAATCTTTTTAATTTAAGCCCTTCTAGATGTTAGGTAATGGTATCTCACTGTGGTTTGAATTTGCATTTCTCTGGTAACTAATGATGTTGAGCAACTTTTCATGGATTTATTGGCCATTCATGTGCCTTCTTTTATGAAGTTGTCCAAGCTTTTTGCCTATTTTTAAAAATTGGAATGTTTGGGGGGGTTTTTTTGTTAAAAAATAAAAATGTTTTATGCATATCTCTTCCCACTCTCTGCCCGCCTATTCATTTTCTTAGTGTTGTTTAATGAAGTTTATTTTATCAGACTTTTATTTTGTGGCTATTGCTTTCCACGTCCTCTACTATTTGCTTACATGCCATTTCTATCTCTAGACTATGGATTCCTAGAGGAAAAGAATGTGAACATTTTTTATTTTGTGCCCCCAGCCTCCAGCACAGATCTTGACGCATGAGTATATCTGGAAGTTGGGAGGAGGAAATATATTCCTTTTTCTGTCTATTATCTCTTTGGGGAATCATCCTCAACCCTCATTCTTCAGTTTTTCTGGTTCAGGTGATTACCTCTTTCTAATCCATCCCTAGGGATGGATACTTGACCAAAATTGGGCCAATTACAGCTTTATCCAGCACTCTTGTAAGAAATAGGAGCATGGAGAGACACTCACCCACCTCCCATCAAGATTCATAAGGACATCGTAAAGCTAAAGCAATTGCTGGCCGTCTTTGCTACCACATGAATTGATGCTACTTGAGTATGAAGTCAACACAGGAATTGAGACATAAAAAATGGAGACCAAAGATCCTTGAAGACATAATTTATATCCCTGGATCCAACCTTTCCTGAAGTTCACCTACCTTCTGAACTGCAAAAATATATGAGACAATGAATTGCCTTTTGGCCTGTTTGTGTATTTGTTATTTGTTTAATCAAGTCTGAGTTATATTTTTATTTCTTACAACCAAAACATTCCTATCTAATATACTCCTTAATAATGTTACACCCTTTCTGCCAAGTCCCCATAACATTTTCCACAGTTCCAGAAGTCTTTTGGGAGGGTAAGAAGTTGGGGTAGACACCAATACTTGTAAGTTCTGAAACTGTATAAACCATAAAGCAGGAGTCCTGATTCTTTTTTTTTTTTAAGATTTTATTTTTATTTCTTTGGGAGAGAGACAGAGAGAGAGCACATGAGCAGGGGGAGGGGCAGAGGGAGAAGCAGACTCCCCACTGAGCAGGGAGCCCAACACAGGGCTCTATCCCAGGACCCTGGGATCATGACCTGAGCTGAAGGCAGCTGCCCAACTGACTGAGCCACCCAGGCACCCCTGGAGTCCTGATTCTATATGTTATGTAGCAGTATTGAAAGTCACAAATTTTTCATCATGATATAAACTGAAAACAAAATTAATTGCCAGTCTCCTGTCATGAGAAGACCTGCCATTGTCATATCTGAGTGTACCTTTCTTCCCACTATCGTTTAATTTCTACATATTGTCATCAGTAATATTTGATAAGTGGATTTAAAAAAAAAGAATCTTCTAAAAAAGCAAGTTAATTCCCTTTCTTTCAGTAGTGGAACATCTGTCCAATGAATTTTGTAATAGAATTTGTCATGTCAAATTGATAAAGTCGAGTTGTTCTTGTTAAAGTCGTACATATGTATGTATATCTGTGTATATGTGCCTGTATATAAGTATATTTTTGCGTATGTATCTGTGTGGTCTGTGTGTCTACATATATGTGTATTTGTTTATATGTGAGTGGTACAAAGTGCGTATGAGACTATACGTGTATATGTGTATGTGTCTGAGGGTCCACGTGTTTGTGTGATTTGTGTGTCTATGTATCCATGTGACTATATTTGTGTCTGTGGGTATATGTGCACCCTATTGTAGCTTCGTTTGCATTTGTGTATGTCTGTTTATGCATGTGTGGGATATGATATGAGTTTGTGTATGCATGTCTGTATGTGTCTGTGTACTCTGTGTATAGAGTGGATAGATGTCTATATGAGTGTTTGTACAATAATGTGCATGTGCTTGTGCTTCTGTGTGTGAGTCTGTGGGTATGTGTTGTGTGGCTGTATGTGTACGTGTGTTTGCATGCGTGCATGGTGGGGGCAGGGAGGAGAACAAAGCTACCAAAATTCTGTTTTATACACTGTGCGAATTGGGAAAAGTGGACCTCTCTGGTGAGGCCGAGCAGCTTCACAGGCAGAGTTTGGTTAGCAGAGCGGAGACTGGATTTCAGCCCCCACTAGCCCCCTCATCTGGCATCTTGGAGAAAAGAACAACTTGGCAGGGAAGGGAGACATTTCCGAAGGCCCAGAAGTTCATTCCGTCTCTCCTTCACCCTATAGGAAGCTTCCCATAGAATCTACTCTGAAAACTACCCAAACCAGTGCTCTCTAATGCTTTCCAAATGACATGATTCTAGAGAAATTCATGGCACACTTCCTCCAACCGAAGTCCACATACTGCACCGGCTCCAGGGGCCTTTGACTCGGCCCCTGAGGTCATGAGCACGCTCATTCAGCAGGCTGCCTCCCACCTCTCTTTTGGCCTTGTCATCATCTCATGGCCCTGGACTCTCTTCTTCCACCTGTTGCCTTGTTGCAGAAAAACACTGGTGGGGGTTTAGGGTTGCACATTGTTGTCATGGCTCATCACATAGTTTGCACTTTTATTAAAATAACTCATGGCCAAGAGGCTGTGGGGTTGTGATCAGGTGGTGTTAGGGGAGAAAGATACAGATGGTGTGGAACTGGTTTCGATGGCAAGTGAGGTCTTGGAACTGGGAAGGGGGTGAGCAGCTCAATCCCAGAGGGGAAAATAGGGGCTGTGGGTTGAAACTAGTGAGATTACTAGGACTTACTTCATCGGAAGCCTTTAGATCCAGCATGAGCTTCTCTGCCCACTTTAGCTCCTCAGCAGAAACTCCCTCTTTGGCAGCTTGACATGTGGTCTTGTGATCGATGACCTTGGGCAAGTTGTTCCACGGTTGTGAGCCTTCCCTTCTTCAGCAGCAATCCCTACCCCCACACGTGGGAGTAGGGGAGGAATCACTGAGACTGCATGAGGAGGTACAGAACACAGCACTCAGCAGAAAGTTAATGCAATCTTTCCTCTCCCCTGGTACTCCATACCCCCTCTTCTTCTCACTGGCCTTGGGGTGCCCACAGCACTTCACCTTTACTTTTATGATAGCAGCAGCTCTGGCCTAGCACTTAGCAAGTTCTCAGTATTCAGTCAATGTTTGCTGAGGGAAGAGATGAAGGCAGGCAGCCCGAGGACAGGTAATAAGTAGGCAGTAAATAATAAAGTAAGTTGGAGCATTCTCCTACCTTTGGAAATGAGCTACTGGCATCCTTCAGAGATGAGGGCTGAACAAACTCATGATTTTGTGTATAAAATATGGCTCTAGGTGTTGGTCAGAGTGGAGAGGTCAGCAGGCCCTTCTAGAAAGTGCTTTCCCCTTATTGACCATCTGTTTGGGCTCTAATGAACTGTTACAGTTATTTGCCTCCTGAGATGACGGTGGAGATTTGGAAAAAAGAGAGTGTGTATACAGTGGCACCTGTTCCTGCCGGAGGATCAAGTTTAAGGGAGGTTTAAAGGAGTCTAAGTTGAAAAAGGAAGAAAGGAAGAAAGACCGGAGAAAACAAGTTTCATTAGCAGTGAGGGACCCAGTTGGCAGGTAAGGGCTGTCACTGCCACAATTATATTCTAATTACATACCTGCTCTTGCCGCGCACTGTGCTAGTTGCTAAGGCTGTAAAGTAGAAGGCATGGTTCTTGCCTTCCAGAGGCTTCCAATCTAGGGAATGGAAATGGATGGAAGACTGAGCACTGTGGAGCACTTACTATCTGTTTAACACTGGGACACATGTTTTAGGGTATATCTCAAGAAGTCAATATTATTATTCTGCAAGGAAACTAAAATACAGAGAGGCTAAGAAACTTCTTGTAGGTCACCCAGCAAACATGTGGAACTGGGAGAAGAGCCCAGGTCTCTGACTGGCTCTAGCAGCCTATGCTGCTCCCAGGACTGTGAGCAAGGACATCAGGGCAAGCCTGTGAAAAAGAGAACTCACTCTACAAGGTCTCCTAGGTTCAGCGCCACATGAGCAATAGATAATGATGTTTGTAGGAGTCTAGAAGAGATGTATTAAGGTCTCAAATAGAAGTGGCAACTTGGCAGAGGAATAGGCCCTCCAGTAGATGCTGAAGACAGAATATGAACCCAACAAGAGAAGAAGGGAGGGGGCGGCTTTCAAGGCGGAAGGAGGCAGAGCATGTGCAAAGGTGGAAGGTAGGAAAATGTTCACTTTCTGGATTTGTGGAATACTGGAGAGAGCACAGCCTGCTCCAAACTTAGTAATAGCCTTAGGCCAGCCACCTGATCTCCCTGAGCCTCAGTTTCCCTATCTGTATAATGGTTGTGGGAATAGCCACTTCATAGGATTGTTGAAGACCTGAGATTATGTATGTAAAGCACCTGTTTCCTCAAAATCATCAGTCTAAGTTAGACCTTAATCTAAATCAGTTCCTTCTCTCATAGTATCTTATTTCCCTTTCTACTTGCAATTGAGTCAATTATATATCTGCATGCTATTTATTGAATGTTTGTTTCATGACTGTAAGTTCTGTGAGGATAGGGACAACATCTGTTCTCCTCAATACCATTTCTTTAGTGCCCAGAACAGTAGGCACTCAATAAACCTTCGTTAAATGAATGGATATATGAATGTATGAATGAATAAATGAATTAATAAGTAAATAAATAACTATATCTATTTATGTGCTGTGACTAAGAATCTCAGGGAAGACGTGTCTTTTCTCTGGTGAGGGGGCAGGTTGCTAATGGAAGAAAAAGCCTTCAGAGAATGCCATTAGAGAGTCACAAGGCCTCCACGGGTCATCAGAAGGAGCCCCAGGTCTCCTGTGTGCGTCCTGGTGCTCTACATAACTGTCTCCGAGCAGGAAGGAAATTACACAAACTTCCAGTTCAGCTGGTTCCAGGGTTTCACAACCCATTTCTTTCTGTCTTAAATCCATGGTGCTGCTTTTTCCACCGTGACTTGTGATGTGCCTAGTGCACAATGACTCTGCATGATCCCCATGTTGCCGGGCAATAATTCGGAGGGGTGTCTAGACTTTCCAATAATCAAGCCTTCTGATCCAGTGCAACACAATAACCCCTAATGTAGAGTTGGAGAGGAGGAAAGGGGATATAAGCAGATGCACTAATATTTACTAGGCATTTGATACATTCTATGAATTGCATGTTAGAAGAATAAGGACAGGGACCTGAAGGGTACAGAGAAGGATATCGGGCTTGACCTGAGGTGAAGTAGTATACACACAGTTGGATAATATCTACAGCTTTTGAAATACGATTATGCATATCATCTCATCTTAGTCTCACTGCAGCCATGGAAAAGGGGGACGTATGGATAACATTTGTATTGTTACTTGTTCTTCACAAAGGGAAACCGAGGCAACTAGGGGTGGTACAGAATATAGATCTGGTTTCACCAGCAGATATAAACTCACTGCCCCAGTCTCATAACTCTCAGTTCAGGGATCTTCTTTTGGGCCACACTGTCCTGCTCCACCCTTTACATTGGTCAACAGTGTGGGGGTGTCTGCAATGTCACAATCCTCCACCTTCTGGAATGTAGTTCCAATGCACTTTTGTGATGGAACATCAATATCAAAAAAATCGGGGGCCACATTACCCCTTTGCCTGCTTTAGTAAATAAAAAATTTTTTTTTGAAACGTAGTCACACCCACACATTTACTATCATCTATGGCTGTTTTTGCACTACAAAGGTAGAGTTGAGTCGTTGAAACAGAAAAGATATGGCTCACGACGTCTAAAATATTTACCATTTGATCCCATACAGAAAAAGTCTGCCACTGCCTAGAATAAATGAATGGAATGGAAGTAGATAGAAAAAAAAAATGGACTCATTCATTCATAATAAGCAGTGGGTCATAATTGAAACTGAGAATGAGAATTGGTTTCAGAATCGAACCTCTGTCACTTGGCTGGATGACCTTGTGCAAATTACTGATACTCTCTGGGCATCTATCACCTTACAGAGTTGCTGTAGGATTTGCACCAGGTAAGGTGTATGTGTCAGTTATGATTAGGTTTGGCCCCATGTGACACAGGGTGAAGGGTCTTGCATAAGACAGCAGCTTATTTCTTTCATGTGGAAGTGAGCAGTGGGTGTTGGTCTGGTGGGGCATGGTGTCAGCAACCCCAGCCTTCTCACCCGGTTGCTTTGCTGTGCATGGCTTTTATTCCTGAGGTTCTCTCATGGTCCAAAATAGCTATTGGAGCTCTAGCCACAGTGCCATGAGTGCTATTACTACTAATGAGTGTATGATGATAAGAGGAAACAAACCAAAAATCAAATACAAGAAGCCCAGAAACAGAGTCATACAAAAAGTCTGGACAACAAATCCACCTTAATTCAAGTCTAGCCAAAACGAGACCTCCTGCCATAGCTCAGGAGGCAACAAGTGTGTTTTGTGTATTCTATTCCCAGGGTACACTGAGGAAGATCTAGAAGCCATGTGGTCCATGTATTCAGCATCTAACACTTTACAAAGTATTTCCATAACTATTACTTTATTTGCTTTTCACAGTACTCTAGAAAGGTTAAGACGAACAGGTCTTAATATTATTATTCCTATTGTACCCTGTAATTCAACCAGGTGTTAAGTAATCAGATCCCAGTACCTCCTATCTTCCCAAAGGGTCCGTGGTTAGATCTTTGGATATTTGTTGGAAATGAAAGCGGAGCAGTTCTCATATAGAAGAAAATGACCCCCAAACAGGACCCCTAGCAGATGTAGCTAATCATATGGCCTCACCCTCACTGAGTCGGTATCCTCACCTATATGATGAAGATAAGAGCATCTATTGATTTGGGGGGTTGTTGACTGTAATGCACACGGCAAATAGGCCAGTTCAGTGAGATCACTGCTATTACCTAGGCTTACCTCTTACATTTGCTGTGTTCTTGGAAACTCACTTCCCTTTACTGGGCCTCAGTTTACTTTCCTAGGAAAGCGAAGTGTTTGGATTCAGCGACTTGCTAAACTATCTTACAAATTCTCCAGTCCCATCAGCCTGGGAACCTGCCTTTTCAAGGGAAAACAGCTGAGATTGGAGCCCAGGTTGGAACTCTCCCTCTGGTTCCCTAGTAGCTCGCTGTGTGTTTCAGAACAAGCTATAAACGTTTCTGACTCTTCGCATCTGTTAATAGGGACAGATTACTACGTAGTTTACAAGAAAGGCAAGCATCACGAGGATTAAATGAGGTGGGTGTGTCCACGGCTCACAGATTGTAACTTGGGCAAAGCGGGCCTATCTGCTGTGTAGATTTGAAGACTGTGACACCACTTCGGAGGGCTGGCCACAGGATTAGACGGATAAATTCATGTAAAGTATCAGAAACAAGACCTGGCACAAAGTAAGCATTCGGTAATTACTGTTATTATTATTATTATTAACTTCATCCGCCTACAACAGTCTTGGCGTTCAGTAAATGGTCGAGAAGTCGTTATAGGGGACACACTCCACACACACACACGCAACAGAGGCTGCGGAGAGTTTGCGTGAGTCAGCTCGGTGCCTTTGAAAGTCCAAGAGGTGGGAGGAGCCGCGGCGGGTCTGCTGTCCACGCCCCCAGGCAGCCGAGCCAGGCTGCAGGCGACGGGGGCGGGCGCGCGGGCCAATCCCCGGAGCGGTTCAAAGGGCCAATCAGGGCGCGTTTTACAGGGGCTGCGTCCGGCGGGGGCGGGGCCGGGGGCGGAGTGCAGCCGCAGCCGCCCCCGGGGACCGCCCTACCCTGCGCGGTGCACCTCGGTGCGGCAACCTGCAGAGCCCCGCTAGCTAAAATGTAATTTCAGATTGGACAAGTAAGTGACCCTCCTCCCAGTCCCACGTGTGCAGCAGGGGCTTTTGCAGGCGCGCAGGCTCGTAGCGCCCACGTTCTCCAACCCGAGAGCGCACCCGGCCCAAGCCTCCCTCCCCTTTCCCGGAGTCGCCGCCTCTTCCTCCTCCTCGTCCTACTCTGGCCGTTTAAGTCTCGTGCCAGGCCAGCCTCGGCCCCCGGGACGATGTAGAGTTCCCTGTGTCCTCTCCTGGGTGAGGCGTCCGGCCACTCAAGGGAAAGGTCGGACTTTACTGCATCCCCAAGGTTTCCTATGAGATGTCGGGAACCCGGGGTCCTCTGCCCTCCCTGACCAGTTAACTGTTCGTTCACTCCAGCTTCCCGTTCCCCCTTCCTTTGCCCTGGACCCTTACTTTAGGATATTTTTCCCAGGCCGTTTTGAGCTTTTAATAAAAATCTGGCTACCTAAGAGATTTTTAAAGGCCAGTGCTGCTGCTTGTAACTTTAAACGCTTAGAGCAGCTTGTGATAATGTTTGAGGTGCATTTTAGTTTAGATGGTATAATGCTGTTTGGTTACAGTTATCCTGGGTAGGAAAGGCCTAGGGTTATCTTTCCATTCTAATTCACTTCCCTTCTTTTAAGGATGGACAAGATGCAAAATGGTGAATTCCCTAATCATTGGCTATTTTCCACGAAAGCACTTCTCCTGTCTTAACTAATTTCATCCCTAAATTAAAGGGTCAGTCATTACCAAGATATGGAAGAGCATTAGGTTAATTTTTAAAATAGGAGATCTGGAGGGAGGAAGTGATTACACTTTTGAGTTGCAAATCAGAAAGAAGGCATGTCTTCTCAAGGTTTGTGGCTGTTAAACAGATGGTACAGTTTTGCTTTGTTTTGCTTGCTTTTCTCCTTTTTTTAATGATCCACCAAATGTATATCCTGATTTTTTTTTTTTTTTTTTTTTTCTTTTTATGTTGCCAGCTGGGTCTTGCAGCCTTCTGACCGCCTCCTGGTCTTCTGGGAGTCTCCTGTTAATGAGGCCTTCTGCCTGGCTCTTGATCTGATGATCACTGGCCTGGCTCTTGGAGGGATCAGCTGAGGAGGACCTGCATGTGGGCGGCCCAGAGGACTGTTGATTAAGGATGATGGGGGAACAGACCAGAGAGGGTGAGAAGGGCCTGGGGATTGATTTTGAGGGGAAGGGAGCTTGGGAGCCTCCCTTGCTGGATTTGGAAATCAAAACATGTGTACTGGGAGAAGGGAATAACCCCGAGGGTGGAGATCTGTGTCTTTCTGGATGAAATTAAGAAGTTTACTAGGAGGAGACTGGGCCTTCTTCCAGGCTGTGTTAATTTTTGCTGTGGGCCTTGTCTTTTCCTGGAATCTGGTTCTCTTTCCCTAACCTTTCACTTAGTTCAAATCACAGTCAATTACCAGCTGGTTTTGAAAACAGTTCGAAGTAATGAATCTTGCCCAGCCAGAGTGGGGACCCCTGGCCTCCTGCCAGGGGATTTGAAATAATTATTTTACCAGAATGCACTACAGAGATCATTTAGCCTCACCTGCCCATCTATTTATAAGAAGAAATACAGGATCAACCCAGGTGGTGGTGTAAGGGGTCATCCAAACCAGGTCTTTCATTCATTCATTTGTTCACTAACCTTGTGGCAAGTATTCTGGACTTGGTACTGTGGTAGGCTTTGGGAAAGTAACGATGAGCAAGACTTGGTCTCCACTTTTAGTCTTTCACTCAAGTCTGCTTGTCTAGTCTGTCGAGGGAGCTTATATGATACCAAGATGAGTGCTGTGGCAAGGTATGTGGGAAATTCTCAGGAATTGGGAGAAGGGCAGATGGCCCAATGTGGGGTTTTGTGGAAAACTTCCCAGAGGAGATAATACCCTGAGCAGAATTTCACAGCCTCAGTATGAGTGGGCTGGGGAATGACAGAAGGGCAGGGGATTATTTGACTTGGGAACAGCATGTGCAAAACTACATAACCTGGCACATTGTTGACTAGTGTGGCTGGGCAGGATAGGGTGAGATGGGAAATCACCAGAAAGGAGGCTGGGGAAGGTGAAAAGGCCAGGGGAGCGTCAGGTGAGTCATAGTAAGGGAGTTTGAAATATATCTCCAGAGCAATCAGGAGCTGTCTGAAGTGACATGGATTTGTGTTTTAGGAAGTTAATTCTGGCCGCAGGGTGGAGAGGGAATTGGTGAGGTGAAGACTGGAGAGAGGCTTTTATAATACAGGTGAGAGATGGGTTAGAGTAATAGTTCTGGAACTGGAGAGAGATGAGAATACAGTTGACCCTACAATACGGGTTTGAATGCAGGTCCACTTATATATGGATTTTTTTTTTTTTTTTACAGAATTGGTTTATTTCTTCCTTAAATGTTTGATGGAATTCACCTATGAAGTCATCTAGGCCAGGAGTTTATTTTTATTTTTTTGTGACGAGGGAGTACTCAATTGATTTAATAATATAAGACTATTCAGATCATCTGTTTCTTCTTGAGTGAGGTTTGATCCTGTATTTTAAGGAATTTGTACATATCTAAACTGCTCATAATCCCTCATTATCATTTTAATATCTATAGAATCTATTGTGATTTCATCTCCCTCATTCCTAATATAGATAACCCTAATATTGTTATCTTTTCTCTTTATTTTCCTAATCATTCTGTCCAGAAATTTATTAATTTTATTGGACTTCTCAAAAAAAACTTTTGGTTTTATTTATTTTCTATATTTTTTAACTTACTGATTTCTCCTCTGAAATTTATTATTTCCTTTCTTCTGCTAACTTTGGGTTCCTTTTACTCTTCTCTTTCTAATTTCTTTTTTTCCAAAGATTTTATTTATTTATTTGACAGAGAGAGACACGGTGAGAGAGGGAACACAGCAGGGGGAGTGGGAGGGGAAGAAGCAGGCTTCCTGCGGAGCAGGGAACCCGATGTAGGGCTTAGTCTCAGGACCCTGGGATCATGACCTGAGCCGAAGGCAGATGCTTAATGACTGAACCACCCAGGTGCCCCGACTCTTCCTAATTTCTTAAGGTGGACAATTAAGATTATTTATTTGAGATGACTTTTCTAATAGGCATTTGATGCTATAAATTTACTGCTTCAAGTGCATCCTACAACTTTTGCTATATGTTTATTTTCATTCAGTTAAAATACTTTCTATTTTTTTTAAATGTCTTCTTTGATCCGTGTGTTAGGTAGAAGTGTGTTATTCAGTTTCAAATATTTGAGGACTTTGCGCTCATCTTTTTATTATTGATTTATAATTTAATTCTGTTGTGGTCACAGAAGGTACTTTGGTATGATTTGAATCCTTTTATCTTCTTGAGACTTGTTTTATGGCCCAGAATGTGGTCTGTCTTGGTAAATGATGTATACTTGAAAAGAATGTGTGTTCTGCTCTTGTTGGATAGAGTGCTTTTTACATATCAATTATGTCAGCTTTATTGACTACCGTACATTACATCCTTGCTGATTTTGTGTTTACTTACTGTATCAGTTATTGAGAGAATGGTAGTAGAATCTCTGAGGATAATTGTGGATATATGCATTTCTCTTTGCAGTTCTAACAGATTTTGCTTTATGTATTCTGATGCACTGTTATTAGGTGTGTTAATATTTAGGATTGTTAGGTTATCTTGGTGAATCATCCCCTTTATTATTTCTTAATTTCTGATAATATTCTTTGCTCTGAAATCTACTCAGTCATTATACCTGGTACTATTTTTGCTCTGAAGTCTGCTTAGTATGATAATGATTTAGTTTCTTTTGAATGCTGTTTAATGGCATATCTTTTTTGTCTTTTTACTTTTAACCTATGTGTTTCTTATGTTTGAACTGGGTTTCTTGTGGGCATCATATAGTTAGACTGGGTATCTAAGTAAGGCCTGGTAATCTCTGTGTTTTAATTGGGGATGTTTAGACTATGTTTAATATAATTATTCATATGGTTTGTTTTAAATACACCATCTAGCTTTTTTTTTCTTTTCTATTTGTTCCATCTGTTCTTTGTTCTTTTTATTCTCTTTTTCTGCCTTTTTTTGGATTAGTTTTTTCATAATTTCATTTTTTACTCCTTTATTGGCTTATTAGGCATAACTGTTTCTTTTGGTATTATTTTAATGGTTGCTTTAGGGTTTATAGTATACACCTTTAATTTATCGGAGTCAACTTTCAAGTGGGATTATACCACTTAACATATAATATAGGAACCCTATAACAATGTTTATAATTCTTGCCTCCTAGCCTTTGTGCTACTGTTGTTTTATGTTGTACGTTTTACTTATACGTAAGTTTAAGTTAAGTTTAAGTGGTTATTATTTCAGTTTTAAGAAGTCAGTTATCTTTTTAAGACATTCAAGTAATTTTTAATTTATGTACCCACATAGTTACCCTTGTGCTCCTCATTCCATTTTATAGATCCAGATTTCCATGTGCTGTCATTTTCCCCTCCACTTCTTGTGGTGCAGTTCTGCTGGTGATGCATTTTTTTCATCTTTTCTTTGTCTGAATTAGTCTTTATTAAAGCTTCAGTTTTGAAAGTTTTTTTTTCACAAGGTACAGAGTTTTAGATATGAAGTTTTTTCTTTCAGTATTTCAAAAATTTTACTCTACTGTCTCATAGTTTACATTGTTATTTCTGATTTCTCATATGTTTCTTTCTTTTGTGCATATTGTCGTCTCCTCTCCCCCTAAGTTACTTTTAAGATTTTCTTTATCACTGGTTTTGAACCGTTTGAATCTGATGTTTCTTGGGTTAGTTTTCTTCATATTTCCTGTGCTTGGGGTTCATTGATATTCTTGAATCTGTGGGCTTATAGTTTTCATCAAATTTGGAAGATTTGTGCCCATTATATTTTCAAATATTGCTCCTGACCCCTTCTTTGTTCTTTCCTTCAGGGATTCCCGTTTCACATATATTATGCTACTTGAAGTTTTTCCACAGCTCACTGATGCTATGTTTATTTTTTAAAAATCTTTTTTCTCTCTTTGTTAGTAGATGGTGTCTGTTATTGTTTTTTAAAGGTCATTAATCCTTTCTTCTGTATTGTCCAATCCTGTACATTCAGTTTTTCATTGCAGACATCTTGGTTGTCATTTTTAGCATTTCAGCCTGAGTCTTTTTTATCTTCCATGTCTGGACTTTCAAGTTCAGTCTCTTCTCTAGCTTTCTGAACATATGAAATACAGGTATCATAGCTGTTTTAATATCTGTGTCTACTAATTCTATCAAATTTGTCAATTCTAGGTTAGTGCCCATTGATTTTTCTCATTTTGGATAGTCTTTTCCTGCATCTTTGTGTGCCTGGTAAATTTTGATTGAATAGCAGACATCATGTATTTTATCTTGTTTGGTGCTAGATATTTTTGTAATTTTATAAATACACTTGAACTTTGTTCTGGGGCATGTGTGAGGTATTAGGAAACCATTGGATTCTCTTGAGTCTTGCTTTCAGCTTTGTTAGGTGGGACCAGGGCTCATTCTTCTTCACTGCTGAGGTAAAACCCTTCTGTGTACTGTACCCAGTGCCCTATCAATGACAAGGTTTTCCACTCTGGCTGGTGTGAATAGGCACTATTCATGGCACTGTGTGAAATCCACTGATTGTTTACTCTGGGAGCTTCTGGCTCAGATGGTTTCCTCACATGCATTACAGTGGTGGGTACTTTACTGAATACTTGAGGAGCACCCTTTGCAGTTCTCTGAAATTCTCCCTCTGTGCAACTCTCTCCTTTCTTGTACTATGCCCCAAGAAACCTAACCTCTTGTTTTCTGCAAACTCTTGACTCTGTCTCCTCCACTCAGGGAGACTGCAGGGCTTGGCCTGATTTCCACTTCCTGTGCCATGGTCCCATGCATTAAGCTTGAGCCAATTCAGGACACTTCTTTTTTCCCCCACCTTGCTGGGATCACTGTACTTCATTGCCTAACATCCAGTGTGGTGAGAACCCTTGTTTCCTATATTTTGTTTGTTTGTTTTTTTAAGTTGTTTTTGGTGGGAGGGTAAATACGGTTCCTGTATTCCATCTTGGCTAGTAGTAGAGGTATTCAACTGGAATTTCTGAAGAAAATTTAAAGAAGGGACTATTTGAGCGTGTGAGGAAGGGATTTTGAAGTATCCAGGCATCAGCAATAATGGGA